AAAAAGCACATGCTCATATTACAAAAAAGAAAATTAAATCAAATCAGGACATATTCTAAAACATATTCTATAGTATAGTCATTCTATAAATCGTGGCTATCATATATGCTAATATATGCATAGTCAAATCTCTGCTATTATGGTAAATCATTCCATAAATCGTGGTATCATATATGCTAACATTCCCCTTCAAGTTGGTGTGTGAATATCTGAAACGCCCAACTTGGACAATGCATTCTCAAACACATTCTTACTAACACCTTTTGTAAGAATATCTATAAGCTGCTGAGAGCTTGTGATCAATGGAGTGCAAATTTGACCAGAATGATCTTCTCTCGAATAAAGTAACGGTCCACCTCTATATACTTAGTCCTGTCATGCTGAACGAGATTTGCTACTATGCTAATGGCAAACTTGTTGTCGCAGTAGAGTGAGAATAGAAGCGAAACTGGAAGACACAAGTTTGTCATTAAGGTTTTTAGCCATAACAACTCACATACCCCAAGAGCCATAGCTCTATACTCTGCCTCTGCACTAGATCGAGCGACAACATCCTACTTCTTACTGCGCCAAGTAACCAAGTTATCACCAATAGTGGTACAATAACCCGAAGTTGACCTTTTATCTAAATTGATCCTGTATAATCAGTATCTGTCCAAGCCTCAACATGTAAGTAACCATAATTGGCAAACAAAATACCACGGCCTGGACACCCTTTTAAGTACTAAAGGATCCGAATAGCTGAATCAAGGTGAGGGGCACGAGGAAAGTGCTTGAATTGACTCATGACACTCACAATATAAGCAATTTCAGGTCGAGTTATGGATAAATAAATGAGCTTCCCCATAAGTCGTTGATACTGACCAACATCTGACAACAACTCCCCCTCAGAATCAGCCAATCGATGATTCTGCTCAATCAAAGTATCAGCAGGACGAACGCTAAGCTGACCAGAAGGAAAAAACAAATCAAGAACATACTTGCGTTAAGAGATGAAAATGCTAGCCTTGGAGCGAGCCACCTCAATGCCCAAGAAGTACCATTAGGGACCAAGATCCTTAATCTCAAACTGAAAGCCAAGATAGCTCTTAACCTCAACAGTTTCGATAATATCATCGCTGATAAGAACGATATCATCAACATACACAATGAGAGCAACTGTCTTACCGCCTGAATGACGTAAAAATAAGGTATGATTAGTTGCACTTTGATGGAAACCAAACTTGAGCATGGTAGTGCCAAAGTGATTAGACCAAGCTCGAGGATATCGATTGCTTAAGGCTATATAGAAAACGACAAAGACGACATACCATACTAGAATGAACAAGAGAACGAAAGCCCGGAGGAGAAACCATGTACACCTCCTCCTGCAAATCACCATTGAGAAAGGCATTCTTGACATCTAACTGAAATAGAGGCCAAGATCAAATCACAGCAATGAAAAATAATACACGGATAGTATTCATCTTGGCAACAGGGGCAAAAGCCTCTTGATAATCTATGCCATAAGTCTAAGTATAACCCTTGGTAACCAACCAAGCCTTGTAATGAGTAACTGACCCATTTGGATTATGTTTAGCTGTAAACACCCAATGACAACCAACAGCTTTTCTTCCAATAGGAAACGGAACCATTTCCCAAGTCTAATTTTTCTTAAGTGCATGTAATTCTTCTATTATAGCATCACGCCATTGAAGTTGTGTTAGTGCATTTGCAACACTAGAAGGAAGAGGAACCGAGGCAACAGAAACAAGAAAACTCCAATAGGAGGGTGAGAAAGCATAATTAGAAACAAAATTAGAAATAGGGTATGTACAAGAACGTTTACCCTTTCAAAGAGCAATGGGGCGATCATCAAGCGAAACAATGGCTTGAAAAGGCGGAGCTGGTGCAAAAGGAACAAGGTAGTCGATTGTGGGAGTAGAAACTTGTACATGTTGTCTCGGACTATAAACCTGTGAAAAGGGAATAATTCCCCCTGCTGGAGGGGTATCACGAGGAGGAATCATAGAAAACGAAACAGGTAACGGTAGAGGAGTTGAAGACGGAAGAAGATGATCATCCATTATATTTAATGGGAACCATTCACTTTGAGAACGTACTGAACCACTATAGTATGGTGTATGCTCAAAGAAAGAATCATCCATGGATATAAACCGCTAACAACTGGGAGGATGGTAACACCTATAACCTTTTTGAGAGTGAGAATAACCCAAAAACACATACTTCAAAGCCTTAGGATTAAGCTTTGTATGAGTCTGCCCCAACTACTAAACAAAGCACACACACTCGAAGACTAGCGGAGGAATAAAAAAAAAAAAGATGAATTGGGATGTAAGATTGAGAGTGAGGCTGCAGGAGTCCTATTACTGATGTAAACAGCTGTATGAACTGCATCTCAAGGAACATTTATGCCAATGCAGATTGCACTGGCTAAGTCAAGGATGTGGCGATTCTTTCTCTCAAAATGACCATTCTGTAAGCTGGGCTTTATTAGATGAAATAATATTAGAAAATGAAGCTAAATGTGCTTGAGGTGACAAAGGAGCATCCAACAAGTATAGACCATCCACTTCACGCCCACTGCCAATCGTCCGTTTCAACACCAGATCTTGAAAAATACAATGAAAGGGAAAGAACGTTACACTACAATTTAATTATTTCGTAACGTACGCTACTAACGAAAATAAGATTTGTAGTCAACAATGGAACATGAAGTGTATCTAACAAAGTTAATGAATGAGTAATTGATATGTGACCTTTCCTAGCAATGGAAGATGGAGAACCATCCGCAAGGCGTACCTTGCGATGGCCAGAGCAAATACTATAAGATTGGAAGAGTGAGGACATACAAGTCATATTATCTAAAGCACCAGAATCAATAATCCATGGTGTCAAAGATGTAGATACGCTATTTGCTGATGCAATAGTACCTGAGTGGGCATAAGTGGAGGTTGGCTGAGATGATGCCTCCATTTGGTTGAAGAATTGCTTGAACTTGTCCAAATCAGCTTAAGTCAAGGTAACTGTGGCAGAAGATGTAGATGCAAAGTTATCAAGAGTTGACAACGAGACTGGTTGTGTAACAGAATAAGCAGAGGAGCGAGGCTGTTGTTTCTGTTGCATAACAACGAGATTTGATGTGACTAATTTTTCCACAATGGTCACACTGTCCGTGTTGTCGTCCCAGAGGAGGACTGGTGGTAGAGCTCTGAATTGACTAGGATGGTGCAAATCCTGAAAGGTTGGGAACCCGGACTGCCATAGTAGAACAATCAATAGAAGCAACGCTTAATGGATGATTCCGACGACTCTCATTTAACAACACATAGGAGTATGCGTCCTCAAGAGTAGGGAATGAAAATAAGCCCAATAAATGAACACGAGCATACTCAAACTCATCGTTCAACCCGATAAGAAACTGAAATACTTGACTCTTCTCCACAATCCATGCATATAAAACTACATCATCTGAATCCTTCCAAGAGTGGAAAGAATCATAATATGACATCTCCTCCCAATAGCACGAAGCTTGGCGATGTAACCTGAAACTGTCAAGTCACCTTGAGAAATTTTGATGATATCTCGCCCCAGCTGAAAAATTCGTGCATTTTTTTACCTCTGAGAATTAGTGGGTTGAACTGAATCCCAAATCTGCTTAGCAGTCTTAATAAATATATAGCCAACAACTATATTTGGTTATATCGAATTGACTAGCCAAGACATAACCATAGCGTTATCTACAAACCACCGTGGATATGCCTTCTCTGACTCAGCTGGTTTCGTTCTCACAACCAGTAATATAACCAATCTTGCATTTGCCACCAATGAACATCTTAGCAGATTGTGCCCAAATCAAATAATTGGAACCATCCAACTTCACTGTGGTGATTTGAACTCCTGGATTTTCTGATGAGTTTGTGGGAAAAATGGCACCACAACTCACAGAACTTGAGCCAAGAGAATTAACAGTTGAGGATCATAAATTTGCCATAATATGTCACGCGATAATAAAAAAAACTCCTAAAACACCATAAATTCTATTAATAAATCAAAGGGTCTCCTCAGACTATAAACAATAACAATGTCTACTCAGACCATTCCCGAAAAATCCAAATACATACCTTTATTAAAGAGCGCTACCCGCTTACATATAGCTAGATAACCTCTTTCTTAATATCCGGAATCTCTTTGTAGATTAATTATTTTTTTACTCAAGCCCTTCTAGGTGTGGAGACCAACTATCCCAATTTACCCAACCCTAGAAGAGTAAAAAAGAAATTGTAAAACTTAAAAATACATGTTTTCGATCACAAAACAGTAACACGGAAAAATATGTGTAGGCAACGTCATACGATGTCACAAACAGCCTAAGGTGGCTGTCGCACAAGTAGCAAGGCTGTTGAAAGGTGTGGAAAGGTGTTGGCTCTGATACCAAGTAGAAATATAAAAAGAAGAAAAATGAAAGAATCATGTAAAGGCTTGAATGAGATGAATTACTCATTCCAAACTCTAGTGTTTATAGATAAAAAGAGCACATGCTCATATTACAAGAAAAGAAACTAAATCAAATCACGACATATTCTAAAGCATATTTTATAACATAGTCAAATCTCTACTATTATGGTAAGTCATTTCATAAATTGTGGCTATCATATATGCTAACATATGCATAGTCAAATCTCTACTGTTATGGTATGTCATTCCATCATAAATCGTGGTATTATATATGCTAACAATACATTATTATTTGGTCCGAGATTATATCGTTCTGGACAATCATAACTCAACGTATACATAAATAAAAATTTGAATAAACTTGACACATTTGTTTTCTTGTCAAGTTATGATTGACCTAGACCATCTAATCTCGTATACATTATTGTGCACGGCCTCTCCTAAAGCTGTATATTCCTACACAAATGTGTGTGTCCCATTTGTGTGCTTCACTAACTTCATAGCTACCTAAATATCATAAAACCTAATTGCCGCATCAAAAATCACTCGTTTCCTTCTGGAATGGATTCAAGCTTCGGTTTCCAGCATGATGAAGAATCAATTGGACATGTTTCTCTCTCAAGCTCCGAGAGAACATCCCCGGCTGATATTTGCTTCGACAACAACTCCTCAAGCTGTTTCTTTGTTATGACCACTTTAATTCTCTTAACGACACCATTTTGTTCGGTGCCATTCATGGATGAAACACAAGCAGGACTAGAAGCAGAAACAGAACCTGTTATAGGAAGAAGATAGTAACTTCTCCCCAACTTCAGTTCATAGTTAGGAGGAAGATGGTGAGAAGCTTCCTTGGACACACCAACACCCGAGCCTGAATAATCTACCAAGAGATTCTTAACAAGAATAGGCGCTGTGAACTCTAACATCTTGCCATCCATCTTCACAACCCTCAACACTTTCTGGTGCTTGGCTGTTTTGACACTGATGCAAGATTGTTTACTGGATTTGCAAACAGTAAAGCAATTCCCCATTTGATTCCTATAAAATTAGAACTTGAAAATTGACACAATTGATGGAGTTCTAAGAAGAAAAAGAAGAGAGCTGCGATGAAATTTGTAGATCAATAGAGAGGGAGAGAGTTGAACTTAGGATTTTGTAAGTATGGAGAGAGGATATATAGATATAAAATAACAGTTATAACAAATGATGGGTTGTTATGTGTGTTGAGTGGAGAGGGTTAGAAAGATACGCTTCTATTTGTTAAAAGGCATAGATTCTTTGGAGCTATATATAAAGAAAAAGCAAGTGAGATTTAAATTTAGTTAAAGTTAGTAAAAAAAAAAAGAAAGTCACAGTGTTTGTCAACACGCATGCACTGATGTGAGAGAGGTCGGTTAGTGGAAGATGTCACATTGGCATTGCTCAAAATTGAGAGTTGAGCTCTATTTTATTATTAGCCAAGATTGACAGAATACTGCCGTTTAGAAGAGCATGAACTCGGATCCTCCCTGTATCATTCCCTCCTCATCTGTTCACCGTCTTTTATGTATAATAATTTTGTTTAATATATTTAAGTAATAATTTTTTATCGCTTATGCATTAATTGTATTACACCGTTATTTTATGGTATTATATTTTGTCATGATATGCATTGTACCTTATGAAAAAAAAAAAAAAAATTATAATGCAACTTACTAGCGACACACGAAGGGTGCACAAGTTTCCCTTCACAGGAGGGGATCCAGATTGAGAAGGGCGGCTACCCGTATGATGAAACCTAATGTTGTCCATGTCTATAGACTGCCCCAATGTCTATGAACTTCCACCACTGTACAACAGCCTCAACGTGACAGGCAGGGCACCAATATTTATTGGTCCCAAGAGGAAAATTGTGGTCATCTGCCAATGGGAGTCTTCTATCACTCACTGATGGTTGGGTAAAATCCTTATTCTTATGAACCTGTCTGGTTTAAATATGTTTAATTAATTAATTAATTTATTATTATTATTATTTTTGTTTAGTCACACTCTTTGTGATTTATTGGTCAAAATACTGTAATGATTTCTTTTGTAATGGGTTATAAGGACCATTTTTTCTCTATTGGACTCGTTTGCATTATCACATCACCTGCGCGTTTCTGGTGTCGTCAGAGAGCATAAGTAATTGTTAAAATTTTTAAATTTTTTTTTTCTTGGCAAACAAAGACAAATACACCAACCAGCAATAGAACAAATAGAAAATCAAGCGATCAAGAGAAGCAAGTGCCTGAATATCTAAAGGAATATCATCAAGTTTGGTTCCTTCATAGCATAAGAGGAGAAACTACCAGCAGATTATAAATTTAAGTAGGGTTTAATTTATCTAGTTGCAGCATCATGCGTTATCCTTCCTTGATTAGTGAGCCGAATGAAATTTTTATAACTGCTCTACAATTTTAAACTATTAGATGTTTTAACCTAAATTTTTATATCTTCAACTTTAATTTACACAAATATTGAAAGGACAAGGATTTGTAAACCTAATAATCTAATCGAAGAGTCAAGTTAATAACTTCTTATCAGTTGAATATATTAGATAATAGACTCTTCAATTAAACCATTAAGTCTAAATAACATTGCACGTTTTTAAAATTTTGCTAAACATGCAAACATGTGATTTATTATTAGATCAAAGATCTTCTCCCAAATTATCCAGAAGTCTCAAGTTTGATTCACGCCTCTATCTTGTCCCATAGGTATTTAAGGGATTAGCCCTATTCCAAACAAGTGTAAAGATATCCATGTCATTTAGGGAGAGACAAAGGGTTGGGGACAAAAATATGTTTTTGAATTATGTGATAACATATTTGGAATACATTATGCTGAGGTGCAGTTGACATACTATGGTTTAGGTTACCTTAGGATCTGGTAGAAACGAAGTACTTTTTTAAGTTATCAAGTACAGATAACAAATCTAGTTTATGATCATTGTGAAATTTAGTAGTGATAGCTTACTAATTACTTCTCAAGAATATATTACATGCAAACTGGGATTGCTTTAGGTGTTGTTGGGTCCTCCACTAAGAGAATGTCATTATCACCTTTAGAAAAGGATACATGAAAGTGTGAGACCAAGATCTTGCAATTCAAGAAAAGTGCACCCAAGTTACAGGTCCATTAAAATCATTGACTAGATCATACAGTATCCGACCCAACCTCCAATGTGGCCCTATTGTGGACTTGTATTCAATTTTGATACATAGTTCGCCCTTCCAGCTGCTAGTTCACCTGTTATATATATCTGGAAAAAGGGACAGTAATTTGTATCGTTCCGTTGGAGTCTCGCCTTGTCCCGCTCCTAATGATACTAGTATGAGAACAGTTTATTTATTTTAGGGACGGATATGAATTTATATTTTAAATTTGCCTTGAGTTACGGGGCGATGACGAATTTTAAAAAATATCTGTTCGGAACCTCCGCCCATACCCGTTCTGTTTCCATTTCTAATCTGAGAGGACTACTTTCGCCTCCACTACAATTTTCAAACAAAATTGAACCTTTTAGGTTCAACACATGGAAAGGAGTATATTAAAATATGAAAAGTTTTAAAGTTATTAAGGAGATTGTTTGATACAACAAATAAAGTTCGGATTAACATGATTACGCTAGCCCCTTTCCTAGGAAGGTAGCTTTGATGGTGTAGAAAAATCTCACCATATAGGGCACAAGGAAGTGAGTTAGGGCATGTACCCTGAAATATCAAGGGCAATGAAGGACCCTTTTTCTTGGAAGATTGGAGGTAAGTTTAACAAAAACAGATGAAGATATATATTGAAAATAAATTAAAAATCATGGTGCGTTGGGTCGGTCAAAGAGGCGTCCTTTAATAGTCCTACAATTTACAAAAGGAGATGGTGTGGGACCCAACTGTAAATACACATCTCCTAGTGGTGTAACTTCCTAATATATGTGAACCAACATATTTCCCTTTTGGTATTCTACATCCATTGGGTCAAATTACTTGTAGAACTATCCAATTTGATTTTAGACTTCTCATTTTCTCATTTCCATATACTTTCAAAAGCAGCACACCATATATGTCTTCTTCACTCCTCCATTTTCCCTCCTATGCAGGGTAACATTTAGGACTTATTGGGCTAATGGGTTAGTGAAATGGTTGTCCTATCAGGCGTCTTTGGGGTTGGGGGTGGTGGTGTCCTGCTGAAAATTTGGCTTATGTACCAATTATTCAGAAACCCTTGTAACGTAACTAAGTTGACTGTGACATGAACATGGGGTTGTTGCTGTTGGAACAAGTAAAAAGTGCATCACTAGATTAGTTTCACTTAATTGAGGACCAATCTATGGATTTAATCGAAAGCAACTTGTTATTTGTCCTTAGTGCCTTATAAGTTAGGCTTTTGGCATTGATAATATTCCCTCCATTATTAGTAGTTCATTTTTCTCTTTTTACATGTCCCAAAAATTAACAATCATAGACTTAGTGGTATTAGCTAGTCTCTTACCTCCTTTTGGAATTCAAGTCATAGAAAAAATATGTGTGCCTGAGTACCAACTAAATATATATATTACTTGTGGCAAAAGTTAGAAAGTTTCTTTTTCATTTTTTAGGGTGCATGTAATTAGTGATAGGCTGCACAATAAGGGATTAGGAATGGGTGGGTGTAGGAGGGGAGACCACGTCTTTGTGAAAAAAATTAGATTATATTGGTTAGTTTTGGTGTCAAAATGTATTCAATTGGGTTGTAATTTTGTTTTTGATTTTGAATCTTGATGTCAAAAATTCCATAGGAATACTATTTAAAGAAGGTATGTAAGTAAGGATACATTACACATTTATATTTTTAAGTTGGACTAGATTGCAATTATTAGGGTTTTGAAATTAAAATTGCAATTTGGACAGGTCTAACCGGTCGCATTATTTTCAACCGGTTGCACTTTTTCCAACAGGTTACACTTGATCAATTCATAAAGAATTACGGGATCTTTCCTTGCTTTGCCAAGTTCATCACCACTTCCTTAAAAATGAAACATTTTTCAATTGGATGGCTGACAATATGATGATATTTGTAATATCTCGGGTCGTTTACACGCCCCGTCTCTTTAGGTCGTTTACATTCTGGAAGTTCAGTAACCTTACTCTCCAACAAAGACTCCAATATGTCGAGAACATCAGAATCTGGGAACGGCTATTCCTTCATTTCCAATTCCTTAAGCGTTGGGCGTTGCCTTTCTTTCTCTTGTGACTGGCGTGAATTACTGTCTTCTTTTTTTTTTTTTTTTTTGTCTTTGACAGGAATCTTTATTGGGACAGTAAAGACAGCCATGGAGTCTTTAGCAACATTCCTTGACGCTTTTTCACCTTTATTCACTTCCTTTTTGTCTTTACACGGCTCTGTAACCAAAGGATCCTTACCACCACGGGACTTAATGCTGATCTCCATGTCATGGGCGTGCGTAGCCAACTCTTCGAAAGTGCGTGGTTTTATACCTTGTAGGATATACAAGAGGTCCCAATGCATACCTTGCATACACATCTCAACAGCAAAGAGTTCCGATAAACGGTCCTTACAATCCAAACTAATTGCTCGCCAACGATTGATGTAATCTATAACAGGCTCATCCTTCCATTGTCGCGTGTTAGTCAACTCAATCATACTAATAGTGCGACGGGTGCTATAAAACCTATTTAGGAACTCTTGTTCCAGTTGCTCCCAACTATCAATTGATTTAGATTCTAAGTTAGTATACCATTCAAATGCATTTCCCTTAAAGGAACAGACAAACTGTTTGACCAACAAGTCCCCATCAAATCCAGCATTGTTGCAAGTCTCGACGAAATGAGCAATATGTTGCTTGGGGTTTTCCTTTCCATCAAATTGTTGAATCTTCAGAGGTTGATATCCCATAGGCATCCTCATGTTGTCAATTCTCTTTGTGTAGGGTTTTGAATATATGAGATTGTTTTGAGGGACTCCACCTTATTGTGCACGGATTGTGTTTGTTATCATATCTTGCAATTGTTGAACA